GGTGACGGTGGCGGTGACGGTGATGGGACCGGAGGGGGGAGGCGCGCGGGGGCGGGGGACGGGGAGCGAGGTCTTTTGATATAGGAGACGAGAACCAATTCACATAATGACGAAGAAGGTGATGGCGAAGGAGGTGATTATAGTGATGCAAGGAGCTAAAGGTCAACTGCCGACGTCCAGGACTAAAGGCCAACTGCTGCAGAGGTCCAAAGCAATAGGGGACAAATGACCGAAATTACGGAAGCCCGAACATCCGGCCCCCCCCCCACACACACACGCACACGCACACGCATCACCAAAAAAACCAAATTACCGACATTTTGTTGAGGGCGGGAGAGCAGGAGGTCAGGGGGTATCCAAATCGATAGTCCTTCAGGGTCGTACTGTGATGTACGGCCCTGCAGTACAGTCCCAATACCCTAGATGTTCTCTAGTTCTCCTCACCCAAAGGAATCTCCGGTATAGGTGCGGCCTTGGCGCCGGACAGCACGGTCTCCATCAGCCGCAGGTTGAGCTTCTGGCGGGGTGTGCGGGACGTGCGTGATGTGAGGGGGGAGATCGTGTGCAAGGCATCGCGGAGGGGTGGGGGGGCTGGGGCTAGACGCGGGTGTAGAGGATTCGGAGGAGGGTTGCCGGTGGAGGGGTTAAGGGTCTTGACGATACGGAGGAGCCCAGGAGCAGGAGCAGGAGCAGTGGAGGATGATGCATACACACATTTGAATTCAAATCCATATGGGCCCCTGGGAGGGGGGTTTCAAGGGGCATGGGGCGGTGGGGGGGGGGACATAAGACGAGGCTCCGCACTGGAGCCGCGAGGGAGGAGCAGGGAATCGTGTGTCTGTGCGCGTGTTGAGAGGAGGGGGAGAAACAGCAAAACCGTGTGTTGCAGCCGTGTGCAACAATGTGCGGTTTGGGTCTGCAGGCACACACTGTCAGGCTGGGACGAACCCCCACAGACAGTAGACAGACAGACAATCAGACAGACAGACAGACAGACCACATGCAGGAAAACAAAGAGAAGTGTACGACAATAAAAATAAAACTGACATACACAAACAGACCCAAGGCGACGAATACATCGAGACATGGAAGACAGATATACAGACAGACAGACAGACGGACAAGCAAATAAACAGGCATACACGCGAGCGCGGTCATCAAAGACCCCACCCACCGGTGGCAGGTTGTGGCTGAGCCGGGGTCCCCCCAGTGCTAGTCCGTTCCTCACGTCTGTGGCGGGGGCGTGTGAAGGGGAGGTGGCTCTGCCGGGGCTGCTGGGGCGGCTGCCTGCCTGGAAGAGGGGCCGAGGAGGGGGGGGAGGAACTGACAGACCGCAAAGTGTGTGCGTTATTATAAATAATAATCAGAAGTTTAACATGCTGACGTTCATGTACATACACCAGCCCCCCACCGCCATGGCCCCGAACCACCATACTCGTAAACATATTCGTCCCGCGCCCAGTCCCCTCCGGCCCCCAGACACACACACACCCACCCACCTCCCCCCCATCCCCAACCCACACCCCACCTTCCCCCCCATCCCCCACCTCCCCCCCCATCCCCAACCCTCCCCCACCTGGGCCCCAAGCTCAACTCGCAGGTCCCGGACCCGGTCACCCAAGGAAAACGTCTCCTCGCCCTCGAACTCCCCTTCGTCGTCCTCATCGCTGTTGTCCTGGTCGTCGTCTTCCAGGTCATCACCGTCATTCCGCCGCGCTGCAGCCCCCGGTGCTCCTCCCATCGGTTGTCGTTGTCGTTGTCCTTGTCCTTGTTGTCGTTGTTGTCGTTGTTGTTGTTGTTGTTGTTGTTGTTGTTGGCGCTTGCGTGCCTGATGTGCGGCCACGTACTTGGCCGCCTGCCGGGACGCATGCTCCTGTACCGTTTGCGACTGCAGCGAGGCGCGGGGTGAGGGAGGCCGGTTTCACGTGCAAGAAGGAACCAACGACCAACTGCCAACTAAAATCCAAAGCCGCAAGCTGCTGTAGGAGTTTATCAAAGCAATGGCTGTCGGAGAGGACACGCCGGCATGTGTGTGTGTGTGTATGCGTGAATGCCGGTTTTGTTGGTTGTGTTAAGGTCTGGAAAGCAATCTGGCGCAAGAAGCAAAGGATCAACAGACGATGGGTGAGGGTTGGGGAGGAAAGCAAAATGAGGGGCGGGGGGGTGAGAGGGAAAAAGCAAACGGCATCGTCAGGCAAGGCAAGACACACATAGCGAGCTTCGTGTGTGTGTGCGTGTGTGGCCGGCGGGGGGGTCTGCAGTGTCAAGAGCCCAACGACGGAGTGAACCTTCCCCCGGTACGGTACAAATTGCGTTTTGAACACGGGACCAAAGCCTGATTCCCCCGAGCTGCGCGTGCGTGGATGCGGCAAAGTCAGAGCAGTCGTGCAGGTGCTGCACGGGTGTGTATGTATGTCCCTGGGCGGGCCTTTGGTAGTGGAATTCCTCCCTATCGACCTCTTTTATCTTCCAGGGTTACACATATTATATATGTACATACATATATACACACACGGACACATACATACATACATACGTACACACATACACACACAGAAAGCTTCGATTGCTTTGCCCGCACCGCCCACCCACCTGGCCGCCGCCCTTCGCCCTTGTGTTCGCCCTCACCGCCGGCATCTCCTTCACCGCCCTTTCCCGCTCCTTCACCTCCTCCCGCTTTCCCTCGTCACCCTCCAGCCCATCCTCCTCTTTTCCTCGTGTGCGCCATTGCGAGCTGTACAGCCTCCGCTCCGCCAGCCTAAACTCCCGGTTCACCGCCGCGCGCGCCTCGCCTCGTGTCCCCCGCTGCAAGGAGACCCGCACGGACTCGAGCCGGTTCTTCTGAATCGCCAGAGGGCTCTGGACGGAAGGATGAAGGGAGGAGACGGAAAAAGACAGGGGAGAAAGAAAGGGTGTTTGGGGAAGGGAGGGGAGGGGAGGGGAAAACCTGGGAAACCGGGGGAAGACCGGCAAGGCGGGGCGTGTCGGGTGGAGGTGGAAAGTTAGTATTTTTTTCTAGGAGGATGGTGTTAAGGAGGGAGAAGGAGGAAATGGACACTCGGGCCATTACCCTGACCAAAGGGGGAAGTAGGGACATTCGCCGACATTTGAAGCGATGTGCTTCGCAGAGCCAAAATCCAACACCCACCAGGTTTACGCCTGCGTCTTCTAGAGACTGCTTGTGAATATTGATGAGCTCCCGGGTGCTCGTGGCGGTTTCTGCAGAGCTTGGTGTCGCTGAGTCCACAAAGAGCGTTCGACGGGACCCGTGCATCCGACGTTGCTCTTGCTCCTGGTCCGGCAAGCCGCCCGATTTTTGATTGGCTGCGACGCATGCTCTGGTGCTGCGGGTTTGCAGCAGTCTGGACGCGAAGAAAGTTCTGACATTTCGTTTAAACGACGTCAGCCCACAGTGCATTAGACGCCCTAAGTTCATAATGATGCACACAAGACACAAATATAAAAGCTGTCCCTCTTTAGTAAGCCGGCAGGGGTAAGCAGGAACCCAGGAAAGCCTCTATCCAACCACGCCGCGACCATAATGTTGCATACCAACATGACCTTTCATCGTTCAGAACTTCGCAGTGATTTTAAACAGAGTATTTGTGTAACTTTCAGTTTCAGTCTACCTGCCTGCCTCGTGTCTGCCACAGTTTATCGTCACGACAAAGACGTTGGCCGTTAGAGTTGCGACTGTGTCAAACCATTTCCAATTTTTTTGTAGTCTTATGCGTTAAGTAGTTCTGTTTTGCAAGATCGTGACGAAAACGATTACTACTCAACTAACAGTTGGCTCCGCCGGCTGGCTGGGCACGAGCTGAGCATGGGAGAAGCGCAGACAAAAATCCATGTTGTACCTTACTTCCGAACCGTTTGCCATCTTAAATCCAGTGCATCATTACTTAGGATGGGGCCCCGTGCTGTCGCCACTGCTTCAGCGTACCTCCACCTTTGGCACCGGGCGGACAAGCCCGGCGAACTAGCAAATGTAAGGATTTTGACCTTATAGGCTTCTGCAAACTTGCGGCTTGTAAATGGTGTCGGCAAGGCCAAACACCTTTCCTGCGTATCGTACAACTGTTTTCCCAACCCCATTCGTTCCTAGGACGCGATGCTGGCTGCCTGCCTGCTCCTTGCATCTAAAGTCGAAGAAGTAGGTGACAGGGCGATTTCATTTGGCGTATTGGTCCGGCCACCGTTGGTCACGAGATTTAACGCGGGTTGTGGGTCGCCTGTCGCCGCCCTATCCCATTCCACCCGCCGGGCTTAGCTTATCTACTTCGCCCAATCTGCTGTGGCGTGTCGCATTTAGCATCTTCCAGTGCGGTCGCCTAACCCCCCTATCATCCACATTCCTGCTGTGATTTGTTCCATCGACTAGGACGGGGCATAACCGACCAGCCTAGATCCCACCACCCAGATGAATCCTCCTTCTGATCAGCCTCCAGTGCAATCCCACATACGGTATTAGTCCCTGTCGACAAATGCCACCCACTTTCAAGGGAAGGTTTGCACGCGTGACCCATTTGATATAACGTCCTGTGCCCAGTACCCTGATGCGCCCTGCTGGCTGCATAGCCAGGCGCCATAGTCGCACGCCAATAATAGTCAGCCGGGACACCGACAACGCGGTGATTTGCTGCCGTCCACTTTTTTGAGTCACAGCAAGTCAAATTTAACCAACGCCCTACCACTAACAGCCCTACAGCTACCAAACCCTACCACGCCCTACCAAATTTAACCACGGGCTCGCGTTGCTAATTTCTCGGGCTTAGCAGGCAAAATGGAGGCCTAGGAGCACAGCCTTTGCAAAGTAGCCACGCAACGACAAAGACACAAGGCGTGAAAAGGGAGCAACGTTTAATGCGAAAAAAAGAACACCGAGTCCTGCGGGGACTGACAGAGGCTGTAATGAACAGCGCGATCGCGAAGAGCTGCGAATAGGCTTACCGGCACTTTGCCCTACACGAAAAGCTCAAGCTCTCAAGCGCGCCACTTTTATGAAGCACCGGCACGTGTGCCGCAGACTACCAACAGGATGTACCTACCCCCCTCAACCCCATCCCCCCAGCAACACAACACCTTCCCACCCCATCCCACGTCCTCTCCGTCCCGCCCATACCGATACGCAAGCACAATTACACAAACAGGGCCCTACCCCGATCCAGGCCTCGAACCCCCAGCGCCGCGCCTCTATATTATCCCAACTGGATTTCCCCCCCTATGTCCCATACCACGACCAGGCCGCAACCTCCAATAACCACCTCCTCAATGTAGTCAAGATTGTGAGCCACTTGGAGAAGGAACTCCCACTCCAGCGAACCCACACGTTACCTTTACAGTCCTCGCCCCATCGGGCCCCCGGGGAGCAGATGCGGTCAGGTCGCGATGTTGAGGGGGGCGAGCTGGAGGCAGAAGGTCCGTATCAGCGACCCCCGCATCAAGGGCAATGCCTGGCTGAAGGGGGGTCCCTGATGGACTCCAGGGCAAACCGAGGGGGCCTGCCCTTGACAGCCAGCAGGCAGGACTCGGAAAGTGGGAACCGGGGACGACAGGATTCCGACGCCCCGGATGCCGCTGCCGCTGCCGCCGCCGCCGCCGCAGCGGCGGAGCTGCTGCTGCTGCTGCCGGCGGCTCCGCCGCCAGATGCTCTTCGCGAATGCGTGCTGCGCTGCGAAGTTTTAGTCGGACCGGAGTATTACGCCGCCAAGCAAGCCATGTTGGATGCGGAGCAGCGGTTGCTGCGGGCGTTACAGTTCCGAGTGGCAGTTCCACAACCCCACGCACTGCTGCTGAATGCGGCGCGCTGCGTTCGGATGCCCGGCGGTGTGCAGCGCCTGGCTCTGGCGATGCTCAACGACTTGTGGGCGTATACGGACTTTTGCCTGCTGTCGCTGCTGCCGGCGGAGGCGGCGCCAGGACCGGCGCCTGTGGAAGATGCGGGAGGGCGCAGGGGGATCATGGAGGAGGGCGTGCTGGCGGTGGTGGAGGCCGCGGCGAGGCTGTCGGGCTGGGTGGTGCGGGTGCCGAGTCATGCACGTGACGCGGGGCTTCATTGGTGGCAGCTACTTGGTGCAGCCCTGGACGAGACGGGCATGGCGGTGTGGGTGACGGCGGTGGTGGAGGCGTGCACCGCATGCCATGCTGCAAGAGAGGCCGCGGAGAGGGGGTTATCAGCGGATTTCCGTCGGGGTGAGGCGGCGCCCAATCTTTCCAGGAGGAGCTGATTGGCGTCGGTGGATAATGGACGCGGCAGTGGGTTGCTGGCGAGGGCCTGGTAGTGGCGGCGTCTTGTGTGGCGGCTCGCCGTATGCGCGGTGGTGAGCGGGACACGAACTCGGGCAGGGCTTGACCGCTTGGCAAGACGGCGCTCCGGATGGTGAGTGGCCGCGGTGCACCTTGAAGGTGAATGGAGCTTCGGAGGTCAGGGAGGGGGCGGGACACGGCGGCAGGCAGTGAGTGGCTGGCGGGAGAAACAACAGGAGGATCAGGCCTATTCAGGGGGGATCCGCTGATGATGATGCAATGACACGTACACAGCACGAAGGAATTTACACGGTGCGTTTGGCGTCATAGTTCCGTTAAGAAGGATTTTTTGGAAACAAAGCTTCACAGGGGTCCTTTCTGCGTGAACTCTGTACCATACCTGTGCATGGCGTAACGCACCAGGGGATGGCTGGATAGTCGCCGGTGATTATAAGGAGGCTGTGCGCCTGACTGATGAGGGCACGGGCGAGACGGGGCGCATCTCCGCACAGTAGGAGGTGACGTTGCCACATTTATTTGGCGGTTTCTGCGGTGGGTGGAGGATTGGAGCTGTCGGGCTCCGCTAACGGTTGCCTGGTGGCGTGCAACTAAAAGAGGGCACCGCGGTGCTATGCCACGCCGTTACACCGCTTCAGAGTGTTTTGCAAACGCGCACTGGTTGAGATGGTATGAGAAGGGGCCAGCCCTGCTCACCTGGTCCGGCACGTCTGCAAACTGGTGGTCGTGAGGTTCGGTCGTTGGGTCGATTTTGAAGGTCGACATACACCACGAGTTGACACAAACGTGTTTGTTAAGTGAAGTGAAGTTTTAAGTCAAGGTTCCATTGTTAGTTAGTCGTCCTTTGTATCGTTTGTTTTCTGTATCCTGTTTAGTGCGGTCTGAATTGGTCACCCATGTACGATTGCGTCGTACATCGTCGTACACATGGCTATGCTGGCCGTAGCATGGCATCCAGTGTATTTTTTTCCGTAATATATTACGGTTCCGTAATAAAATGGCATATTTGCGTTCTGCGCTCCGTCATAGACCATGGTAAAGGCCTGGTACGGTCGTTACGGAGCCGGGGCGGGCCGAAGGCCCCCAGAGACGTTCTATTTTAGTATAAATAAGTTATAAATGAGCGATGGGGCCCAAGAAATTAACTACTATAGCTGGTCAGGGTAGCGTCAAAGCATTCCTGACCACCGGCAGGCCAAAATCCAGTAGCGGCGATGCTGGTAACACTTCAAACAATATAGTGAGTACAAGAGAGACATTAGAACCAGATGACAGGGCGCCTCCCGCACGGCGCCACGCTTCAGCCAGTCAATTCCACCATCAGCCAGTTGCAGGCCAGGAAGCAGCTCAGGCGCACCAGGCTAGACGCCCGGAGCCGGTTGTATCACCATCGAAACGACGTAAGCTCAATGAGCCATCGGCTGGCTGTGCTGGGGCAGGTCCATCAGGCACACTGCCAGCGATGCGGCCAGCAACGCGGCTCCCGCAGCCGAGCCCGTGCGCGTCTCCAAGCACATCTCAGCAATCTGTTGAGATCGTTGCAAGCCCTCTGCAGCGGCAGCACCTTGAGCTGCTCGACCAGCGAATGAGGGAGGAACAGCGGCAGGAACAGCAAGAGCAGCAGCAGCAGCAGCGACCCCGTCCTAAGCCGGTCCCAGCCACAGCGGCAGGGCGCGAGCGCACCGCAGCTGCAAAGCGCGCCCGCGAGCCTGCAACGGTACTGGAGAAAAGAAAGCGCGACCCGCAAGGTGCAGGCAGTGGTGCCGGTGCTGCCGATGCTGCTGTCGGAGCTAGGGTCGCGCTTTCCGCCTAAGCCCCTGCTCGAGGCCTTCTCCATCGTGTACCCGCAGTACTGTCTCACTGGTGGCGACAAGAAGGACGCGCTCGCCAAGCTGAACACCATCAAGGAGTTCTATGGCAAGCTGCGGCCTGGCCCGGGTGGTGGTGAGGTGCCGGCGATGCTAGACGCCCGAAAGCTTAGCGAGCAGGCCACAGCCTTCATCACCGCCATCAAGACAACCAGTGAGACCATGCATGCTGAGTTGCGCCGTGAGCAAAGCGATGGCAGCGACGAGGACTCAAGCAGCGACAGCAGGAGCAGCGGTGGAGTAGGAAGCGGCAGCGGCAGCGGTTCTGGTGATAGCAGCAGCAGCAGCAGTAGCAGCAGCAGCAGCGGTGGCAGGGGCAACGGTGGTTCCGATGTGGGGGCCGCTTCTCGCAGGCGCAGGGCATCCCGCAAGCGTGGGAAGGGGAAGAAGCGGCGTCATAAGCAGAGGGAGAGGTTTCCGTCCGCCACGGCCTGCTGGCGACGGCTGATGAGCCCCGCTGGGCAGGCCATGGCCATTTCAGAGTTTGCAAAGCTGGCGGAGATTGTGTTTGTGATGGTGCCAGGGTCAGTGGAGGATGAGAGGCGGTTCTCAGCAATGTCTTTCGTCAAGAATAAGCACCGCAACCAGCTTGATAAGCATCTGGGCCTGTCCTTGCGTATGTTTGCCCAGGACTTCTACACCCGCTCATCCTTCCCGTATGACAAGGCGGTGGAGAAGTGGCTGCAGAGGGCTGAGAAGCGTGGCCGTTACATGCACAATTGACGAGTTTGCTATGCCCTGGGGCATTGTACTGGCTGTGGTGTCGTGGTGAAAACGAATGACATAATCCTGAACGCATGTGGCAACGGACGGAAACAGCTGAGACTTTAATGAAATATTTATTAAATATGTGCTGGTGTATCAGGTACCCTGTGTGGGCAGGGGGGGTCTGGGGGGGCT